TATCTCTCACATATAACATAGAACACTTCAATTAAAAACCAAACGTGTTTTTAACTCTTTATTCAATAAATATAAAACAGACAAGATCAAACTATGACAGTCGAACAGTTACTACTTACTTTTTTTCGCTGTATTTTCAAAAAGCCCTATAGAATAATTTCCCCAAGAACTGAATACAATAGCTTCATTACTTTTGTTTTGTCTATACTGAATTTCTATTGACAACATGATTATTTCGCAAATTTAGTAACCACGATGGCTAGCTATGTACTGTATAGAATCACTAGTAAATCATCTAATTGAACATGAATTTTAGGGTAGTATTATAGATAGGTATGCACTGGTTTCGATTTTGAAACAGAAAAAGGCTTTATATGATATCATGAATTAGCGCATAACATCTGTTTACTATTGTCAAAAAACATCTAGTTTTATGTGTATCGGTTTCGGTAAATCTTGTCGACTTAACGAATTTAATATCTGTATTTGCCCCTTAGTGGATGGAGTATGCCATATGTTTCTACTTCTGATTATTTGTGATGTCCTGCGATTTCTCGAGTTACATATTGATATAGACATGTGTCAGTTATAAATAACTGGCAATAACCGCCAGTTAACTAATTGGTTGGTTATTCAGGTACCGTAGTGCTCTCGAAATAGAACAATGATGAATTTCTTCTCAAAACCTATCGGTTATGATCAGTTACCCGACAGTGACCGACATAAGCGAAATAATCGATGCATGCCTAGTTACATAAGATGATCACATTGATAGAACGTGATCGTACACGGGATGATCAGCTGTTTTTTCTTACGTTTTATGTACAGATGATTTCTTTTTTATACATACATGTATCGCGTGATCGACAAAATTTCACAATAATACTAAGTCTGAATTAACTACTAGTGACGGACTATGTTAATATACATTGACGTGAGAAAGGACAAGTTGCCAAAGGAAAGTTGCCAAATGGTCCGCATTTTGCGGACAAATTCCGCTTTCTGTAGTTTTCTCAGCAAAGCGTCTATTGTCCGCAATTTGTCCGCTTTTCGAGGATTTTTTTGTTTTTGTCCTTTTTCCTGCAATGAAGATTTTTACATTTTCTTATAAAAAATTTGACGCCTTCGGCGACTGAATGACTTGTCAAAACAATGCTTTTGCAACTTTTATAAAACAGATCGGCACTGTTTTAGGAACTAAATCAGAAATTTGCTCCGGAAATGAGCGGTAACAGAAAAATATTAGCTTGTTTCAAGTGCTGCTGGAAGGGAGTGTGAAAGATAGTGAAATACTAAATCTTCAAGAAAGCCAATTCGGTCAGAAAATCTTAACCGTTAAGTGCTGTTGTAGGCGGGAAAGTTCGAATGAAGTTTTATCCTGCCATACATAACTCTTAAAATTTATGATGACTGATCAAAAACGCGCATCTACAAAAAGTCAATATCGATTCAGATTGGAATTTAAATATTGTTTTGTACTTCTTTTGTATTTCTTAAATGGAACCATCATAAAGCGCTAAAAAATGTTTTTTGATATTCTTTACGTTTGGTGAAAAATGCTTTTCTGCTTTTTTTCCCGTTTTTTTCCGCTTTCTGACCTAAGTATCTGGCAACTCTGGACAAGACGGCTATGTATGCCATTAATTTTATCTTGCAACCATTTTCAAAGTCAAATAGTACCATCTACGAAAATTTTTTGAATGTGACAATGCTCGGTTTTTTTGATGTCAGTTAACCGACATCGATGTATACATAATTATAGACAACATCAGTTTTAGTAAAGTCTTCTGAAACTGTTACGTTCTCATCTGAAAAGTCAAACCCATTAAGATTCTTGATTGGTGTGGTTGCTATAGAATGAAGAGATGTGTTTCGGTAATATTCACTTAAGGAATCATCAGTAAAAAACATGTTGTTTTTTATATTGTAGAGTGGACTGGACTACTTTTTTACAGTCCATGGACTGAAAAAACTTTTTCATGGACTCGGACTGGACTGAACTAAATTTTTTTAGACCACGAACTGAGCTTTTTTAAGTGAAGAAAAATCGTTGGAAACTGGAGAGATTGTGGTTTTGTGGAATTGTGGCTCATAGAGCTCGATACGTTTGTCAATTGTCAATCAGTAAAACAAAGAACGTCTTCTTATATTCCTTTTCAAAAATATTTTACATTGAAAATACGTCAGAAATCATTCTCATAGAGATGAAATATCTGTATACCGGTCGATATAATGAGCAAACCGCTATCGGATCGGTTCCACCTCTGAGTTGGTCTAATTAAACTGATCACTTGTTGGCTCTCTGTGATTAAAATCTGCTTGGTCCTTTTAGGAATTTAAAAACAAACGATATGTAAAGAAGAAGTATTCTTTCTTTTCATCCCATACAACATTACAAAAGAAAGGGGAGAGGGATGGGGGCAAATTATTTTACTTGTGGAACACCTGAGCTCTCTCTTTCCAATAATTCTACAGATATCGGATGACAATACGTTTATTTAGAAGTTTTAACTACAACATAACAAAAATAAAATAAAATTTTCTAATCAAAAACGATATAAAAGTCAGTTCATTATACTTTGTTTACAATACTCTAACATTCGTTAATTGAACATCACCTTTGATTTGAAGTGCTTGAACACTTTGAAATGGTGCACGATGTTGAAAATCAGCAAATGGTCTACCATTGGCTGATATCTATAAGGAATAAAATAAGAAAATGAATAAGTTAAACTTAACTTAGTTCAGTCTAGTTACTTGATAATGTTGTGGATAACAAACAATTTGTATACTAAATGGGCCTCCAGAAGTAAATGGAAAACCACCGCTTTTTTCCTCCGATGCCCATCCACCATGTATGCATGAATTTCGAATAACTTCACGTGAATCAAATCTAAAAGAAGAAAATATAAATAAATATCACCATAATTTTTCTTTTTAGCAACTCTATTTTACCTTGGATTCAAATGCAATGCTACATCAGCACCATCATGAGAACCATTTAATAAATTAATTTCCATTCTAAAACAAATTTAAATAAAAGGTAGATGCTTAAAGAAGGTTTAATCATTAGAAAACTCACCGCTGACCTGTTGACTGACCATCAACTTGAATTGTACGTCCTAAGAAAAAACAATTACTTATTTTAGATCAATCACTGAATATAAAAATAATAATTGTACCTGGAAACATATTGATATGTTGTATAAATGGAACGTTCTAAAATATCATAGATTTACATTTTTATTATGGAATTTGTGGGTACTAGTCGAGTCCAAATACTTACCAATGGAAAACCATGACCACCTTGACCTCCCTAATTACCACAAAAGAAATATCATCGCAGTTATATTTAGTTTCAATTAAAATAGTACACTTACATATCCAGGATAAATTTGCAGTGAATTCAGCTGAACATCACCTTTAACTTGAACTAATTCCGCTGCATTAAATCCAATACGGTGGCGAAAATCAGCAAAATGTTGATTATTCAACGCAATCTGAACAGAGTCAAAAATGATAGTGTTAAAAGAATGTGTTAAAGAAAAAAGTATTTTTCCACTACTTACTTTAAATCCTTCAGCAGTAACCATAATAATCATTGAAAATTGTTGACCTCGTTGTATAGGTATTGATTGTCGCTCCTCTTGACCCCAATTTCCTCCGGGTGCTTGATAAAGAAAGAAAGTTATTATTACCTTTTCAAAAAAAGTTTCACTAATTTACTTACCACTAGTGAGAACAATCGTATTTTGATCAAATCGTGGATTAACATGTAAAACAACATCACCTCGATGGTTTGCTAAATTCACTTCAAATCTATTTGCACTAGGACTTATAGTACCAAAAATATGAATTTGAGTTCCATAACTGATTGGTGGATTAATTTGTGTTTCATATGGTACATTCTATATGTACAAAAAAAATTTTAGATACGACAATGAATAAAAATCTCCAAAACACAGCATCATCTTACCAAATGTTGTTGATACTGAGCTTGTTGCTAAAATTACAACAAAGACAATGTAAAACTTGAATGAAGGAAAACAGATTGATCACTTATGAAAAACGCTCATATCTTGTAGTCAAAAGTACACGAGTTTTACTGAATAACATTTGGATAAGTTTGAAGGACGATAATAAATCTGAAGACCATAATTACCTGTATACCAATCATATCTTTCAAGTTTGTATACTGATTTTTATGATACAACTGTCTTTTCTTTAATGAATAGTTCGTTTTAAGAAACTAAAATTTAGTTCAACTTACATTTCCCATTATGTTGACTATTGCTTTTACTATTAGTTTACTAAACCGCACGACGATATTTAAATCAGTGAAATATTTTGAAAGAAAAACTATTATTTTATATATATTCGAGAGAGAGAGAGAGAGAGAGAGAGATTTATTATTCACTCACGCTTATCTATGTATCATGTATGTTTACTAACTTAATAAGGATATTATTTGCTTAAACTAACTCCTTGAAATATTAAATGGTTGCTTTTATCAACAGAGAAAATTGTAGAAAAAAAGACACATGTCGATGACATACTCGGATAGTGAAATACATACCACATACACACATACATTATGACTAATAAATCAGGACTTTAGACACTAACAATATTCTACAGGAAACGAGAACTTTGAAGAACCTTATCAGTAACTGAAAAAATTTTTTTTTCTGACACTCATTTTATATGTAGTGAATAAGATGAAAAATTATCTGGTTAGACCAGATGGTCAAATATTATCGATATTAAATGTAAAAAATCCCTGGATAGCGCCTTTAATATTTATCATGACAGAAAATATAATATTTCTACATTACAATTTATCTTGAACTATATTTGACTTTGAATGAAACAACTCTTGTGTTCTGAAAAAAGAAAGAAAATGAAGCAATCTGCTAAGCTCATTTTTCCGTCTACATCTGATTTTCTTTAATACTTTTATCAGAACGAAATACGAACTAAGTTGTGACATATTAACTATAATCACTCAATGATACGCTTGCTTCTCACAAATAGTCAGATATATCCTTTGTCAAAGTAGATCACAAAAATCAACGATACAAATGTTATTAAAAAGAGATTACAAATTCGTTTTTAAAAAAGGAAACGCTTTTTCTCTTTTTGACATGCTAACCTAGTGATAGCCTTAATGAAGGTAGGTAATCATTATCAAATATATTTCGATGAACTAACTTTTATTCAATATCTTTAATAAAAACTGAATAGTAAAATGGCTTTTAGTTAAGTTTATCAGCACAAATACACAAGAAAATGCTATTTTGATGCAAACAATTACATAGAAATAGAAGATTCTGAGAATAAATCGTTCACCATTTCACCACAATTGGGATAATACTATTATATTGGATGAACACTATTTAATGTAACATCTTCCTTAACTTGAATAGCAGTAACTGAATTTGATGACATTTTATAATAAAATTCGGTGATCATTTGATCATTAATTTCGTTATTCTCAACCAACTAAACGCTTACTTTGAAACATTCCTGTGTACAAATAATAACCATTTAAAATGGTATATTTTCAAGATAAAACTAATGATTTTCATTCCTTATTCGTCCATGAATTCGCTGTTAACGAAGAGAAATCATGACTAGTTGAAGGTGAAAAATGAGTACAGTTTACTTTGACAACTGTTTAAAAGTATTGTATTTTGATCAAAACATACATTGACATGTAAAACAATATCATGATCAGTTTCCAAATTAAGTTCGAAACTAATAAGGAGAAGATTTGTATAAATTCATAATCTTGCGATCAGTAATACACTTTCTAGAACGAAGGATAAAGGATGGATGCGTACAAACTAAAGAATCGGCCCACTTTTGTTTTCTGCTCAGAATGGTCCTATGAGTGGCAAAACCACGAACATTTGATTTTAGGTGCTTTCGAGTGGTTATAGCCGTTTCATCCAGGTAGGATCTTCACTTGGAAGCTGGTATTACGGAGCACCATTAAAATCCGTCTCATGCGCTGTTCTCTGGCACTATAGGAGTATATAAAGAAATCAATGCATAACTAGAAAGCTTTTCAATTTTCTACAAACTCGTGTATCAAAATATCTTCGTTGATTTGCAAAAGGTCGTTAAGTTCAACATAACATGTATGACTAGACAAAAATGCTACCTGTAGGTCATTTAGGTTAACTTTTTTCGAGAAATCGAAAAAAACCATTTTTATAAAATAGCCTGTTTTAAAGCTTTTACAATTCTCTAGAAACTGATGTATTCAGAATATCTTCACCGGTTTGCAAAAGGTCGTTAAGTTCAACATAAAGTGTATAACTAGAGAAAACTAAACTTTAAAAAAATGAACTTAACGACCAACGCAATTCAACGCAGATATTTTGATACACGAGTTTGTAGAAAATTGAAAAGCTTTCTAATTTCTTTATATGCTCCTATAGTGCCAGAGAAAAGCGCATGAGACAGATTTTAATGGTGCTCCGTAATACCAGCTTCCAAGTGAAGATTCTATCTGGATGGAACGGCTATAACCCACTCGAAGGCACCTAAAATCAAATGTTTAGTTTGGTTTTCTGAATGGTTTTCTGCTGCTCATAGGACTGCTTTGAGCAAAACAAAAATGGGCCTATTCTTTAGCTTGTACACACCCGTCCGTTGAGCTATAGTTGCTACAGTTATTTTGGAATGAGCATCAGTGAAATAGTGGCTATAGTTTTCTCAAAATTTAAGTGTAACGTTTCAGAACTTACTTGGCTACTATTGACTAAAGCTGGGTGGAAAAACTGTACATATTTGAATTTAAATTGTATAGCAAAATACGCACACCAAATGATGTTTACGTCTATTATTTGAAGAGCAAAAGGACCAGATGTATACTGCGATAGGTTTTTTCATTCTGAAATATATTATATATTAACTAACTTGCTTATCGTACAGGCGTTTTTTTCGACTAAAAATCTCAAACAAACGCGTTCTTATCTAACAGGATTTCAAAAAGAAATCTAAGAAAACGTGTTTTTTTCCGATTTTTGAATGAACGCGTATGTTTTATTGTCGTTTAAAACTGTTGCTTTTCGTTTTTGATCGAAAGATTTTCTGTTCAATTCTCTAAAAAACTGTATTGATTATTTTCTAGAGAAATCCGACAGTGAAAAATGACACGAAAATTTATGCCAAATATCAGAATGGTTAAAAAAAATAATGTATTTTCTCAAATAGAGCGTAATATTTATTTTCGAATAGTTTCACTATCAACACAACGCGGTTTGAGTATATTTTTGGGTAGTTGTTTTTAGTGAGCTCATTCTCATCGCGTATGGCGAAAATTTGTTTGAATCAAAATATTCAACGTAAATCGGATATTCAACGAGAATCGGCGAGAACAGCACAAATTCTAGACCTTTTTTGCGCGTTATAACAGAAAACGCTTTTTCGAATCTTCGTGATTCGACAATATAGACTACCCATATCGTTAAAATCGCTCCATTCTGGACGATTACTTGCCATTAGCAATAAAATCGCAAATTAATCGCAATTTCGATTATAATCGTTCATAAATTGCGATATATGGGCGATTTTTAACAACTGGTGTTAATCGGCTTGCATGAAAAATCGCAACTTGTTAAAAATCACCGATATATTGCCATTCTTAAAAATATCGCAAATTAATTATGATTATTAAGCGATCCTGGTGATTTTTCTGTTTTTTAATAATGGTCAATTAATTGCGATTAATTGTTGATTTTAAGCCATTAAATGATTTTTTGTTATTCACCGTTTTATTCTGCCGTAGAGTAAGTATATAAGAAAAACACGATTTCAGCGAGAAATGTTCTTCTTTTCAGATTATCTTTTTAGTTTGGCTTAAAACAGAGTTGCCAAGAGTGTCCTCTGTAGTTTCCTTAGACCTAACTCATTGTTTCGATTTGAGTCAACTTTGTATCGACGAGTCCAGTTAACTGTTAGACTAAAAACTCGCCGATTAATTGCTATTAATCGATAAAATCACCGATCTATTGACACGATGAATCGTCGATTTATTGCCGATTTTGACTACATGGGTACTCATTTGTCTTCATAATAAAAAAAATTCAATCTGGAAGGATGAAGGTTGAGTAAATTATTACTACTTACTGGTAAAATAATAACCTCATTTTTAGGAAATTTGGAAATTCAATTGTGACTATAAAGCTTTTAATTATGGATGGAAGACAGAACTTTTCAAGGCCTATACGATGGCTACTTTAGCTTTTTTTCTCTTCAGAGTTGCCAATCCTTCTGATGTTTGACTGTTTTTTTAAAATTTGTACTGTAGAAGACAGCTTCTGGAAAAAAAGGCTTACATAATCCATGTCTACATCACATGAGTTATCGGTTCGATTGGGTACGCTCGACTCCGCGATCAGGGTGATAATATCTTAAATAAATGGGTCATGCGTGATGAGCCACAAAAAGAAAATGATGATTTTCTTTCTTTGTTTTTCCTGTTTTTCTTTTTCTGAAAACTGGAAAAGTATTTTTTGACCGCAAAATTTCAGCAAACTTTACAGCACAAGAAAAAATTGTCATCTTACATACGCACTGATATAGAAAAAAGGTGGCATAGGTCTGAATCAAAATGTTCCTTGATTACGGGGTTGCTCAACAAGCGCTTGTCGTGACGTTTCGTTTAGTTCTATTTACTTATTAGCATTTCTTAGATTAGATCGCCTCTTAAACTGATGGCACCCTCAGATTACGGTTTGCACGATGAAGCTCTAGTAGGTTCAGTTCACATCAAAGAAAATAAAAATGGACGAAAAACAAAACGGCATTTTTAACATAGATTGGTTAAAAGATCCAAAATATTCAGAGTTTTTAGTTAGTCATCGTGAGTCTAACATGGACATTCATATTTATCACAAGACTCCACTATCTCTGCAAGTGTTTTTCCACACAATGCTTTTCCCACATGTACTGTCGCCAAAACTACAAGCTGTGATCCCCCAAAAAAAGTACGTAAGAATTTGTTGACTTTGGTTGCCTTCTTATCGTCGGTTTTGATCTCATTCTTTGATCTTATAGGTTTTACCACTTGTGATGTTCTATATCTCTATTTTTTGCTAAAAACGTTGTGCATGATGTACTGGAAAGTGGATATTATTCACTCGCAGTTTTCTTCAGATAAAGTTT